AAAAACTGAGATGTTTTGAGTTTTGGGCGACTTACGATGGCTGTTCCCATTTCGACCTGAGAAGCTGGAAGTTAGTCGTTCTATGTCTTTTTCTTTACCATATTGGGTACACTATTCATTATGACCCACATTACATGAACGCAATCTCCGATTATATTATTGTTACACACAAATTGAAAGTACATAAATTATAATAGCTGGCTCCAGCTTTGAGCCTGATTTGCTAATTAATTTTTGACAGTGTTTTGCAAAATCGCTAAAAGACGATTAATGTCAACATCTATGAGTTAGTCATAATCTAATTTTCTCTCATTAGAAAGTTAACGGTACAATTTGGAATCAAATAAATTTGTTTCAAGTATCATAACACTGCCCAATTATTCCCAATCTCTTACGCAAACAAAACTATGATATCTGCACAACATTAAGATCTTTGGTTCTTGCCTCGTTAATTTTCGTGCAGGTCTTTAGAAAATTAGCATCTCTTTTTAAAAGTCTTTTTGTGATGTCCTCAAGGGAAACTAAATGAGGTCGCTTAAAATTTCAATAGTCCTTGTTTATCAAGAACGTGCTAGTACAATAGATTAACGAAAACTTTAGTTAACATTGAAGAGAGAATTAAACAGAAGATGGTTTTGTTTTAGGAGAGGCTGTGTTCGTTGTGATGGAATCTGCAAGGAAGAACTCGACGCAGTCCAGAATTTCACAAAAGAAAACCACATTTTTCTTAACGTCGACAGAAGAAACTAAAAGCCCTAGCAACGAACCAAAACAACTTCACGAACAAGGAAACAGGAAAGGAAAGTTCGCATCAGTGGCGAAAACGGTTCTTCTTGCAAACAGAGCGTTCCCTCAAACCACAAGGAAAGCAAATCGCACAGGAAGTTCCATCTCGATTCCCGTCCCGCAAGAATCGACTTTAGCTTCTTCAAAGTTCGCAACAACAGCATCCGCTCCGTCGACTGTCGATGATAACTTGTCTCTCTACGCTATTGAAGACGTCAGCCAGATGGAGAACACTTATAAAATGGAACCAGACGATGGCTTTTTGTCACAGAAAGCGAGCGGGATAATTCGCGATGTATTGGAGGCTCGCTTAAAAAGTAAAACATACGCCCCAGAAGAGAGCAAGAAGTTGTCGATTGAGATCAGTGAAGAGATAAAGAAAAAAGTGAAAGCAGAGGTCCCGGTTGAACGGTATAAGTTTGTTTGTGTGGTTTGGATTGGTCAAGTTCTCGGACAAGGGGTACATATTACCAGTAGATGTTTGTGGAATGCGCGCTTTGATAACTTCGCGCAGGAAAGTTTCAAAAATGATCAGCTTTTTGCGCAAGCTTCAATATATGCAGTTTTCGTGGAATAATGTGTGCTTTGGTCAGTAAAGAGGAGTTTATCATTGATTGATTGATATTATGAATATAGTGAGAACCTTTTTTATAAAACGTTCAGGTTGAGATTAACCAGATTTTGAGTTGAAGAAATAACATACTGCGAGCCCGGCTGAGAGTCAGTTATGGACGTTACTTAATACAAAGACTTGGAAATCGAGGTTGAGTGAATGTGGGGGCTCAAAACAACAGCGGTTCCGGCGGTTATGGGAGCGCTTGGCACCATCAAGAAGGACATGGAAAACTACTCCAACAAAATCCCTAGCAACATCAACATACATGCACTCCAGAAAATAAGTCTCCTTTCTCCTTCTCCGGCGAGTCCTCTCCATTAAGTAGAAACCCTCTTTGCCACCCAAAGTCCATGGTTTGGACTCGGATGTTGATAGAGAAAATCAATCGCAATTACACTTGTTTATCTTATATAACAATGATGATGACTATATTTTAGTGTCAATGTACTTAGCTAAACAGTTAGCTAATTGGGGTCACTTTCGTACTTACTGGCACACTAATCTATTACATGACGTTTAACTTAATGATCTTACCTTAAAAGAGACAAACAGACAAAAGATGGAAAGTACATGCAAGGCACTGAGTCTACCAGGAAATACTAGGGACCTTAAGAAACAACGAAGACAACAGCAGTGAAAACATCACATGAATTTGCGTCCTTTCAAACTTTATCGCGTCTATTTGGAACCGCTCAATTCGTAAATGGTAGGCGACTTTTCCTAGAGTTGAATTCTTAAGGGCGTTATCCATGTTCAAATAGAGAAGGGAAAAATTGTCGTAGTATGTCCATGTCCTCCATAAAACGTCGCATTGGGAGGTTTCACGTCGTAGTCGTGCAGTGGACGTTAAAGAAATGCGCTAAAAAAGCGTGATGCACGTGCAGAGCTGTTGTTTTGCTCATGAAACCAATTGTTTTTTTGACGTTGTTGTTGTCGTCGTCGTTGGTTAAGGTCCCAACTGAGCAAAGAAGGACTAGGACGAGGCGTAAACACAAGGCAACGACTTTCTTTTTCTTTTCCTGAACTTTGATACAGTCTCTTGAATTCAACTCCAGAAGATTTTGCCATCAACATTTGACGAATTGAAAGAGTTGGAATAAGGCCGATAATGTTTGAAGTAGCGCGAATTCACTTTGTAAGTGGCGTTTTCGTAGCCGTCGCAGTCATTGTTGCTTTAGGGACCTTACGATCCGCCAACGGCGACGTCCATGAAAACGTTGCTGAAAAACAGACTTCGCATCATTTAAAATTTTTCGCGATTATCGCAATTTGCCCTGTTACTTAAAAGAAGAGGATTTTGACTGGAGATGAAGAGGGGGGAACGCGCTCAAGTTCGGACAGATATTGTAGAATTTATCGCCTTGCCGTTTCCGTTCCCAAGTAAACTTAAAATTTGGTCATCTCACGTCGTGGTTGTTCAGTGAAGGCAAAGAAATGTACAAAAAAGTGTGATGCACGTGCAGAGTTGTTGTTTTGCTCATTTAATCTATTGCTTTCTTGACCTTCCCATTGCCGTCGTCGTCGTGGTTTCGTAAGCAGTGCCGTAGCATGGGGAGGGGCCTGCCCCCCCACCAATAATTTTGACGGGCACGTTTAATTTGGTCAGCAGCCACGCCCTTCATGCTACTCTTCGGTTCAATGTGCTCATTTCGGTTCGATAAACCGTGAAAATTCATAAGAGCGTACATCGTTGAAGTAACATATCCGATTAATGATTTTAGACAGTTAAAAATTGCTGGAAATTAATGCTCTCGGAAGGCTGAAGATGTTATTTCAGAGACCCTTTATTTCAAAATTTTCCGGGGGAACGTTCCTCCTCACCCCCGTAGCATCTCACGTCTTCGGTGCTCGTGATCCCCCCCCTCTACCAATAAATCTAACCCTGCTACAGCTCTGATAAGGTCCCTTTTATCAGACCGATTAGGGCTTTTGAGGCGCCCTCGTTAAAAAAACGAATAACTTCAAAACACTTCAAGCTATGACCACCAAACTTAGCAACTTCTCCTGAAATTTATCTGGAAACATTTTGAAGTCGCCGTAAATTGCACGTCAACATTGACGTTACCATGGCAACGGGGTTTTGACTTTGATGTTTTTCAAATTTGAATTTTTCCAAAAAAATTTTGTACTAATTGAATTATTGTATTACACTTAATTTAGCATTATTTTATCAAAGTTATTATTACTGTTAATGAAATCCAGGCTATTAGTGACCAGTTTAATGAAAAAACATGGCTGATGCTGCCTGAGTTGAATTTTCAACATTTTCCATTTCTCTCGAAAATTCTTCATAAGCATCCTGTTTATACTCAGATCAACTTTTCTTTTAAGAATACCTACATTAATTCGGGTTTTAAGTATTGAAAATAGCGGATGCTTTCAGTTCGTTTTTTAGTAATACGACATCATCATGACATCAATGCTACTGCTAAAGACTATTTATGTGTTAGCCAACTTCTTGACACCTTACTCGACCTTACTATTTACGTGTTTTGCGCTTATTAATGTCTACTTTGAGGGAAACTTGGATTTTAACAATAAATTCAACAATATAGCGTCATGATAACGTTATATTACGTCTCTGTGTTAATCAAGTTATACCCACAACCAGGGGCGTAGCCAGCTTTTCGACTCGTTGTAGGCCTGCAATGTCCTAACCTTTTATGGAACAAGCTCCCCTTTGAAATTCGAGCTTGTTCTGATGTTAATCTTTTTCAATCTAAGTCGAAAACGTTTCTTTTTAAAAAGGTATATGACATTTAGTTTCATCATATTTGTTTGTTTTGTTTGTTTTTTTTTTCCATCACTTTTTAAGATGTGTAAGCTTGTGCTTAATGATATTCTTATGTCCTTTTTTACATTGTAAAGCGCTTAGAACAGCGATGCATAAGCGCTATATAAATTCCATTATTATTATTATTATTATTATTATTATTAGCTTACCCCCCAGACACATATATATTTTTTTACAAGAGGTAGAGTAATCAAACCAAAAATTTGTGGGCCCGGGCCTACAGAGGTTTATAGGCTGGCCACGCCCCTGACAACTTGAAAATGATGAGTGCATTACTCTGTGTAATTTTGGTGACCGTAGCATGACTCAGTTGATGTTCTAACGTGTACGACTCACTTTGACTCTGAAGATGACCACCGCACTAATTTTGAAAAGTCGGTCACTACATGCGAATCCTTGTTAACATTTTCTTTTTGCCTCATTAGCATAGACTTATCTGTATCTGATGAAGCTAATGAAATGAAATTTCTGAATATACATTAAAAAGCATGGCAATTTCAGTAATCACTGAAAAGTTGAGCCCGATATAATACCAAATAGTTTCGAAAAAATTCTCTTTGAAAAACTCCAAAATTAACAAATTAAAGAATGTATGGGCTCACCAACGTTTTTCCACCCAGTAATTTTAAAGCTTTTAATCGCTGCTATTTTCTCTGTTACAGATTGCAAAGAGCTGAAACTTGCACAAACTGCATAAATAAACAAGCTCTTTTAATTTTTGAACCTAATTCGTGTATACGGCTACATCTTCTACGAGTTAAATCGTGTGCTAATGAGAAAAAATGTAAACAATGAAGTCACAATGAATCCGCCTATTCAGCACTACACTTACCCGGACGACCACGCTCAGCTGCTGCTTATGATAGGATTCTTCAGTTTCTCTACCCTGGGTACCAGAGATTTTTTCTCGCGTGTGACGAGGAGCTTCGTCGGCCACAGGCCGACACGTCTTCAGCCTTCGGCCGAAGACACAAGCGGCGAAGCCGCGAGAAAAAACTTTTCGCGCGGGTCACTTTTTAAGACTTGACAGAAACCGGAAACCGCGCATGAAAAGTCTCTGGTATCCAGGGTACAGTTTCGCTCGTAACAAAGAAGAAAAAAAATGTTTGTATAAAGGGATGTCTCCAATGGGTCGGAAATCAAAACAGCTGTAACTAGATGTTCTCATCCAAATTTTCTTAAGGTGACTCGACCCAGTTTTTTTTAGGGGGTACCATCCTACTTTGAAGCTCTCTGGTATCCCCACCTTTACTTTTATCGTAAGTATAACACATAGAATGGATAACATATAGATCAATCTACAATATAACATAAAATTTTTGGCGATCGGAGTAAATGTCACGAGGTTATAATGCCACGACCCTTTGAGGTCTGAGTCGAAAATCGGCTGTTGCCGGCATTTTTTGGTGAAAATCTCTCGGCTACACATAGTGCGCATTAGTGCCTTGCGCTGAACAGAGTTTCACCAAAATCGCAAAGACCCAATTCGAGAAATTCAGCGGTTTCCAAATTTAGGTCATAATTTATGCGAAAATGATAAGCAAACTTTACACGGATTATATCTAATAAACTATGAGATTCATCTCTGTATTTTGGGCATTCTTATAACAGATGGGTCCTTGCAAGTCAGCAAAACGCTTTAGGGCCTTGTAAATGCGCGCGATTTCGAGCAAAGCAAACATATAGAAATTATAGTTTTCGCTATTTGTTGACGTTTGTCAGCGTTTAAGGGTCAATCTCACGAAAAAAGCATTTTCTTAAAAAATTCGTAGTTTTTTTTCCTTCAAATTTTTTCAGGGCCACAATTGATTAACTAACTACCCGGACTCTGAATTTCATGGTCATTGAAAAACTGTGACATTATCTTCTATAAACCCAAACTTGAGTAAACATTGAAGATTTTTAGCGTTTTGGCTGAGTTTGTGCTTTGGGAGTTGTCTATTGTTTCTAGTCTGCATTATACAGCATTCTTGTTCATCACGCGTGCAATGACCGCGCTTGGCTGACTTCCGAATGCTCACCGAGATATTATAAATTTGGTACAGTGAGACAGGCCACCGCGTGATACATAGAGGTTTAACTAACAATTTTTAATCAATTCTCGTGCTTCTTGTGTCTTTGCAAAAAAATCAAGAAGTGCTACACTCTAAGTCTACTTACTATTACAAAAATATCATTTTTTCATAGGTTTAATGCAAGCCAATAATTAAACCAACTCATGACGGGAATATCTCGGTGAGCATTCGGAAGTCAGCCAAGCGCGGTCATTGCACGCGTGCTGAACAAGAATGCTGTATAATGACAGACTAGAAACAATAGACAACTCCCAAAGCACAAACTCAGCCAAAACGCTAAAAATCTTCAATGTTTTACTCAAGTTTGAGCTTATAGAAGATAATGTGACAGTTTTTCAATGACCATGAAATTCAGAGTCCGGGTAGTTAGTTAATCAATTGTGGCCCTGAAAAAATTTGAAGGAAAAAAAACTACGAATTTTTAAGAAAATGCTTTTTTCGTGAGAAGGACTCTCAAACGCTGACAAACGTCAACAAATAGCGAAAACTATAATTTCTATATGTTTGCTTTGCTCGAAATCGCGCGCATTTACAAGGCCCTAAAGCGTTTTGCTGACTTGCAAGGACCCATCTGTTATAAGAATGCCCAAAATACAGAGATGAATCTCATAGTTTATTAGATATAATCCGTGTAAAGTTTGCTTATCATTTTCGCATAAATTATGACCTAAATTTGGAAACCGCTGAATTTCTCGAATTGGGTCTTTGCGATTTTGGTGAAACTCTGTTCAGCGCAAGACACTAATGCGCACTATGTGTAGACGAGAGATTTTCACCAAAAAATGCTGGCAACAGCCGATTTTCGACTCAGACCTCAAAGGGGCGTGGCATTATAACCTCGTGACATTTACTCCGATCGCCAAAAATTTTATGTTATATTGTAGATTGATCTATATGTTATCCATTCTATGTGTTATACTTACGATAAAAGTAAAGGTGGGGATACCAGAGAGCTTCAAAGTAGGATGGTACCCCCTAAAAAAAACTGGGTCGAGTCACCTTAAGTAGTACAGTTTGACAGCACCGCCCTTTTTTTTTTCTTTCAAGGCTGAGCCCAAGTGTCACAGCCAATACAAGGTTTTTGGAAGAGGATGTTGTCTTATCTAGCTGGATGCCATGTTCCTGATGCGAAAGTAAGTATTAAGACGGAAGCCATTAAGAAATTGAGTAATTTTAATTTTCAGTGGACAAAAACCTTGTACCAGAATATTTTGAGCCTTATCGCATTTTTTCCTCTTTTTTTTTTTTTACACTTTTTTAAGGGTTATAGATGTAATCAGTTATCTGTAATAACACCAAAGACAATTTCTTTCTGAGGCCCGAGAAAATAAATGGCAAATTTTATACGAATTGAGAAAACACAGGTAAAATCGTCATGCGTAAGATTTAATTTTGTAGAAATTTGAGGCTTTTGAAGTTTGTCTTCTCTGGCCTTTCGAATGTGTTTTACGGTTAAATATTCCAGCTTATTATGTCCGAACTAAGACGACTGAACATAAACATCACGGTAATATTCAAAATTACTGTCGCCCTGATCCGTCATTGTAAGAGCCGAGATCCTTGAAGATAGATGGAAGATAAAGTAACTCTTACGAGTCTGGTAATAATGGACTTTTACGCCACAACTCGCTCAGAGAAGTACTTCAACGATCCTTTATAATTAGAGTTTAAGTAATGATCCGGGTAAGGTGGATAGCAGTTCCTTTTGTTATGCAGAAACGGTACTCTTCCCACATGGGAATGCTCTCATTTTTACACACAGAATGCATAAACCTACATGAAGGCCGTTAACGCAATAAAATGCATTTACACTCCACTTTGAAAGGGTGTTTTTTTCTGTTAAAAAATTTTGACCAATCACAAGAGTTGAAAACAATAGCCAAGAAAAGTTTACAATTTTACATGTTCCCCACATAAGATTTCTTTGTTATTCAAACTGAGACCAGATTTTGTTATATGGAAGATGTTTGGAAAGTAAGGATGAATATATGTACCGCTTTATGAAGTTTTGTTAACTTTTGCTGTTTACGCCAATCAGAAGTAAGTACAGACAATAGAAAAGTTAGCACCTTTTTTGCATTCCAACATGTTCGTACGTTGCCGTTGGACCGTTTCTTAATCCCGAGCGCTGCATTAGAGAAAGTAAAGAGGCCCATTCCTTTTCTCACCTGCAGTTTGTATTTGGACCCCTTATGTAGAGAGGCCATTCTGTCGAGGCGACATCCTGTCAAAAACTTCGCCTTTGGCACATGTTTACTCAGACTAGTATCTTTTTGGGGAGTATGGCGCGCGCGCCCTTTAAAGGACGGACAAACGGGCAACAAGAAACGTGCAACTTGTCTTGCCACGTGACATTGCCGCAAAACGAGTTGAATAGCGTTGTTGTGCGTTTTATCACCCATATCAAACCTGTCTTGCAACAAATCAGGTTGTTAACAGGTTTGACTGACGTGGGTGGTGAAACGTGCAACATCGTTGCACGTTTTTATGCGTCCTTCTCGCGTTCTCCATTGCTCATCGCGTTTTCGCGCCCCTTCATTTCCCCTTTCTCATACCCATATTCTCAATCTATAAAGGATGATGTAATCAACTAAAGCATTTGAAAAGAAAGTCGAATTAAATTTTGTTTCTACAATAATTTGCAATTGTAATTGTCGAACTGTCCAACGACCAACCATCTTTATGTCAATCTTGATCAACAACAAGCATAACTTTGCCCTTCCTGTAAGTCGTCGTGTGACTGAACCTGAGATGTACGTGTTTGTGTGCAAGGTAAGTACCCTGTAAAAAGCATCCTAATACACTTCTTAACTACGTACTTTGTATAATACAATGACAGTGAGACCGTCATCTCTTCATAGTTAGGCTTCTTTAAAGAATTGTTTCGCCAGTTGCGATGAGAGGCAAGGAGAGTCATGTTCAAGTGAAAACATTCCGATTTCGCTGTCACGACTTCGTCGATTAGAAGTTAGTTAAAGCTACAATAGTAGTCACATTTGATGAAGTATTTATGTCCACTCCAATTCTGATCAATCTTGTATTTCCTATCACTGGGGAAGGGGAGAAGGAGAAATGCACATGTCATAGGCTTTTGTCAGGGGAAGGACCCAAGGGGTGGGGGAAGGTAACAAGACAAAGTCCCCTGGTTCCAGTGCTTCTCAGTGGGAAATCCCGTCCTGATATCTTTCTCATATAACTTGGATTTGGTTGATTGAGGGGACTTTTTACGAACTACTTCACTAATAGGACAATTGCACGATGACGTCATTTTACTACAACTACCAGAATCCTTGAGTTTGTTGTTTTCTTGAGCAAATTAAGGCTATTGTTCTTTAATCCTCAGCGGGATTGACAAATTTAAGTAACAAAGCAAAAACGAAATGAATTCTGGTAGTTGTAGTCAAAAATTGTCCTATTACAACTGAATGTGGTACATGGGTGTGGTCCGGGACAATATACGATGTTTTACATGAAGTACACACACTTTTTGAAGAGGGGCTGCAAGCGGGGCCATCTTTGGTTAACGAGCTGGGCGAGCTGGGCATCGTTAGTAGGTGAGCTGAATTTCTCTTATTTACACAGTCAATATTAACGTCTTAGCTATCAAAACAATGTATGTACCATTGCGCTTTATGATTCCCTTAAAAACGGGAGTACAGTTTAGACTTTCTCGTTTCAAGGAACGAGAGACAGTTGACAAAGTTGCGGTAAATACTTACTCAATGATTTGTTAAGCTCATGTCTTTCGATAAACAAAACTTTACGTAAAACCTATCCTTAAATGTGTTCCGTTTTCAAGACTTTATAAGTTATTTTCATATTTTGGATTTGTCTGTAAATCGATAAGCTAAGCCTTGGTGAACATGGCCGTGCTTCTTTCTGTCCCCAAGTTAGTATGAGTTTTTTTCCCAAGCCGCACCCCCCCCTTTCCCATGGAAGGCATGATTTGATAATATCTAGAAGGACTCTGTCGGAATCTAATATTTTAACCACAATAAAGGGTTTTGGAATTAGCATTTTACCCACAAGGGCCTCTCGGAATCTCGGATTACTACAAGGCCTTATAGTAGTGGGAGATTTGGGAACTGTAGGAATCGCAATTTAAGAGATAGGGGCCTGTCAGAATCATACCTTCCATAGAGGTGCAGGTGGAATGTCCCTATGCAGCTCTGACACTTTGTGACAAAGTTTTTTATTCTATTCTATTCTAATTTGTACTTGCATATAGATTGACCTGCTCGACTGAGTTGAGGGAGGGTGGACTTTCTAGTACACTCAACGCTCTCGTAGAGACCACCTCAGAAAATTTGACAAAGTGGTCATAAACTAGAGCTTATCGTTCACAAGAATGGGCTTTCCCCAAAAACGGCTAATAAGAACTGAACCACATTCTGCATATTATCCAATCCAATCATTTATTTTAATATTTATTATTATTTATTTCGAACACACAAACAATTGCAATACATTACATTTACGATTCATTACAATAAATTCTAATTATCGGTTACTAAATTTTACCTTACATTGAAACAGGTAACTGTTATCATTTACAGAAGGGAAAAAGTGAAATAAAAAGAAAAAGAAAGACAAAGTCCATAAAATACTATAGTTTATATATTAACAATAAATTAAGAAGAGGCTGCCTGTCTTTTGGTCCTCCCTCCACCATCTGCCCATTTGCCACTTGCACTTTAATTAACTGTATAGATCAAATTATTTTTCTGAGGGGCATTGTTTGAAAGTAGCCCATTTCTTTCTAAGGAAGGCTAAGCTATTATTATCAAAGGCAATCTGTTTCTTAATTTCCGTGGAGCGTATGACTGCAATCTGATTTTAGTCAGCGTTGTTATTAGTAACAATCTTAGACAAAAACCTTGAAACACTTATTTGAGGAGGATTGTAAGCGAACCAAAATATGTCAAAAGTATTTCCATGGCTCAGGATTCTCCAGAAAATTTAAACCGCAGGGTGCAAAGAAAATCATAGCCATTTGGGCAAGCTGAAGCTAGCATCTACTAGCCCAGACGTCATTTCAACTAGCCCCAAAAGCTTTTTGATGAGCCGAATTGATTTCACAGTTCTTCTGTTATTTGAATTCCTGAAAAGTTAAAAACACAAGTTAAAAACACAATTCACTAGCCCGATAGCAAAATCCACTAGCCCTGGGCTATCAGACACTACTTTCTTTGCACGCTGATCAGGTCACCAATTTTTTTGTTTGCTTTTATTATTGCCTGCTAATTTGGAAATACTTACATATGAAGTAACTTCTTTTTTGCGTCAGTATGACATTATTTCATTTTACGTCCGAAGAGAATATTCCTACGTCAATGATGCAGAAATGTGGCTTAGATAGAACACTACAAGGCCTAACCCCTTTAGCAAAAATCAAGCATGGCGACTTCATGTATGTGTAACTGATATTAATTTTTATTGACTCAAAAAGCTTCTTTTCTCTCTAAAACATCAAGAAATGTTTTTTACCTGAAAACAAACAATCAAGAACTAAACCAGTTTCGAATTTGTAGCGGCCACTTAATAGAATCACTGAAGACTCATTTAAACAGGGTTAGTTGTACACAGGTCTTTTTCTGACTGGAATGTGTCAATATTTTTACTTTAGGTCAAGGCTAACCCTGTATAGATGAGTATTCAGTGCTTCTTTTCAACAGTCGCAACAAATACGAAAATCGATCATTTCAAATTTTTTACCTTATACCAGTTTAAAGTTGGACGTTCATAAAAATTAATGCATTGACTGTATAATAAAGAACTGAAAACAAACGAAGATAACATAGCAAGTGTTTATTCGTTTGCATTTTGTTTTGAAATATATTATCCACTGGAAGGAGTAGAGTGGCTCGTTACCCCCTGGGTATATTTTTTGTGGGTTTCCTTCTTTTTTTTGACCAGTGACTTGTCCTCTTGGGCTAGTGATTTATTTCACTTGCTAGCCCTTTGTCTAGTGTCCAAAAAAGTTAGTGTCAAGTACTGTACAAAATTTGTTTTGTTAAAGTTGTCTTTGACTGTTGAAACTGATCATCTCCCAAGCACTGTAGTACATGGGAGGTGGATCTGCTCAGGTGGTTCAGAAGTGATGGGTTTACATGTTACTTTTTTTGTTCCCTTTCCAGGTTGAATGTTCATCAGTAAATATTATTATGGTAAAGAACACAGTCAGTCAAAGACATGCAATCACCTCTGTGAACCACAGCAAGGACATTTTTGCCACACAGGTGAGATGAAATGTAATAAATATACACCTGTACCCAAAGGTGCACTCTCTGCATTGTTCGCTTGGTTGTGACCTGTACTGTATTTGTCCAAAACAGTTATGAGCCACTGAACGTGGTATGGTTTTTAAGGTCGTGAGTCTTAAACAAGATAAAAATTTTACTATTAATTTTAGCATCTTGAATAGGGTGTCTTTTTGTTCTGGAAACCTAACTTTATGCCCCGATAGTGACCCTCATCCAATTTCTCCCAACGGTAACACTGCCTTAGGGCTGTCATTAAGAGCCGGCAGCTGGGGATTTTCCCCCGGCTATTATGAATGTGGCCCTGGTTACTTTCGTAGAAAAATAGATCCAGAAGAAATCCCTAGCTGATTGATTCTCTGCTGTAACTTGAATGATTGTGTACGCTTTTCCAGCTGATGGCGATTATTACTGGAAAAGAATTTGCCATTAAGCGCTTGTTACCGAGACTGATCAAGTGATTATGTCAATGGCGTTGTGAAAGAAGATGTTACGAAAAAGCATCATCTACTCTTTCTCAGACCTGTGAGTAAAGCATTGACTTAACTGCATCTGAAAATTGTGACCCACTTTTCTCCCTCATGACGCCCTTTCAGCTTCTCTATGGGTCCTGTGGACCCCGGTGTGTAAAATCCTGGTAAGAACACTACAGAGATGATGGGATAGTGTATGTTGAAACACTTTAGCTTAAAAACATTACTTTCAGCTAGATTCACTAATATTCAATCCAAAGGCAGAATGGAAGTTCTGTAAAGCATTTAAGAAGTATTAATAGGTCTTACCTCCCCTGGTGCTGTGCCTTGACGTGGCGGGGAGGCTTGCGTGCCCTTAGGACCACTAGAGCTATGATGGCGGGAGCTTATGCTCCTGGCAGGTTGAATTATGCCAGATTGCTCCAAGGTAGTAGGGCCAGACTAAACAGCACCCTGGTCCTCCAGGTTGGGGGTTTAGTGCAGGGTTAACAACTCTGCCATGTAAAACACTACCTTTTAAAACTTCATTAGAAAACTAAACATGATGAAAGCACCTACAGCTGTAGTAGAGGCCACTCGGCGAGTTGGAAATCTTCTGAAGAATGAGCTACAGATGCCGCAAAAAAACTCCACCACTCTCATTGAACTGGCCACCAAGTAAATAACCACACCTGCACTTCTCTTTACTCAGGTGATGAAGAAAATTTGTTACTACAAGATAACAAGAGATCATCTAAGAGGAATCCAGACAGAACTTGTGTCAAGGATCAGTCTCAAACTTCTCAATGCATGTGCCACCCAACACCATGTTCCACAACTGCATCCCTGATGCCTGCCCCATACATTCCAGATATCTGCTGGAAACTTGAGGAAGATGCTACTTGTATGAGATTGGATTCCTTACAATTGCTGGTTGCTTGTGTATGACTAGATTCCAATGAAAGCTGAACTTGTGGATATGGTGTAGTGGTGTTTGGCCGATGAACTGTTTCGACAGAAACCGGTGTGACTTGGGGTGCGTTGACCTTTGGGATGATAAGGATTTACTAGGATCGGAGGTTCCTGACCACTTGGATCATGGTAGATCAAATGAACCGATGACTTTTTGTCCATTCATTTGATCTACCATGATCTGAGTGATCTTGGATCACTTATCCTCATTCAGATCGTCTCAAAGAACCCACTCTTAATAATCTACATGCCACGAGAGATCAGCAAACATAGGACCGGTCAACCTATAAACCACTAAGTATGGAAACCAGCAACTCATACTAACTGCTATTCCCTATTTTGTAGTGTTCAACCACAAAGGCATCCCTTGTGCTTGGTCTTATTGCTGTGGTGTGGACGTGGTAAACCCAGGATATCCAAATAAATTGGTACTCAAACTAACTGTTTCTCTACTCCTGTTGTGATTGTGGTCACTGCATGACCATTTACCTGTCTTCATTATTATGGCTATCATTATCACTCTTGCTCAAATCCTTGAAGGAACACAGTTTACAGCCACATAGAGAAGATTTATAAGTTCTGGGATTAAGAGACCCTTGATCTATGGCGATTGTTGTTTTTTTTTCAATTTCAGTACACGTTTTGACATGAATATTGACTTTTTTACTTGTTATCATATTTCATATATCATTTATTAGAAGGAGTGTGGTGATAAGATTTCTCGCCTGTCTTTGTGGAAGAAAGCAGAGCTGGCATGTAGGCCCAGCCACTGTTGTTTTTTCCCTCCACCATGTACCCTGGATTTGTCGATCAGGTATGTGACTTAATTCAATTTTTTAGATTAATAACTGTCTAATACCTTTCCTTGAGAATTAACATTACGTGGTTTTAAAGTTGGAAAAAGCTATTTAGCATAAAAGGAGTGACTTGTTAAACAAGTATTTGGCGATACATTGTTATGTTGATTGCTCTCTGGACCTCCTAAACACCTGATTTGAAACCAGTAAGTATGGAAACCAGCAACTCATACCAACTGTTCTTCCCTATTTGTAGTGCTTAACTACAGAAGCATCCCTAATGCCTACCCTTTTTGCTGTGGTGTCAACCTGCCTATTGGAGGAACCTGCCACCCAACTGTTTTTCCCTGTTCGTAGTGTTGAACTACAAAAGCATCCCTGATGCCTGCCATTTTGCTGTGGTGTCAACTTGCAAATCGAAGGAACCTACCATCCAACTCCAGAAAATCTAGGATACTCAACACACCCACTCAGACAGTACTTGTAATGTCTGTTCCTCTATACTTGTTGTGATCATGGATCCACAACTCCGCTCTGTTGCATCCCCTATACGTTCCAGATAACTGACTGGAAACTTGTGGAAGATACTACTTGTATGAAATTGGATTCCTTATGGTGGCTGGATGCTTAAGTATGGGCGGATTCCAATGAAAGCTGAACTTGTGGAAGGTGTAGTGGTGTTATGTGGCCGATGAACTGTTTCGGCAGAAACCGGTGTCACTTAATCTACATAACACAAGAGATCAGAAATCATAGAACCGGCCAACCAATAAACCAGTAAGTATGGAAACCAGCAACTCATACCAACTGTTCTTCCCTATTTGTAGTGCTTAACTACAGAAGCATCTCTAATGCCTGCCCTTTTTGCTGTGGTGTCAACCTGCCTATTGGAGGAACCTGTCACCCAACTGTTTTTCCCTGTACGTAGTGTTGAACTACAAAAGCATCCCTGATGCCTGCCATTTTGCTGTGGTGTCAACTTGCAAATCGAAGGAACCTACCATCCAACTCCAGAAAATCTAGGATACTCAACACACCCACTCAGGCAGTACTTGTAATGTCTGTTCCTCTACACTTGTTGTGATCATGGATCCACAACTCCGCTCTGTTGCATCCCCTATACATTCCAGATAACTGACTGGAAACTTGTGGAAGATGCTATACTTGTATGAAATTGGATTCCTTATGGTGGCTGGATGCTTGAGTATGGGCGGATTCTAATGAAAGCTGAACTTGTGGAAGGTGTAGTGGTGTTATGTGGCCGATGAACTGTTTCGGCAGAAACCGGTGTCACTTAATCTACATAACACAAGAGATCAGAAATCATAGAACCGGCCAACCAATAAACCAGTAAGTATGGAAACCAGCAACTCATACCAACTGTTCTTCCCTATTTGTAGTGCTTAACTACAGAAGCATCCCTAATGCCTGCCCTTTTTGCTGTGGTGTCAACCTGCCTATTGGAGGAACCTGCCACCCAACTGTTTTTCCCTGTTCGTAGTGTTGAACTACAAAAGCATCCCTGATGCCTGCCATTTTGCTGTGGTGTCAACTTGCAAATCGAAGGAACCTACCATCCAACTCCAGAAAATCTAGGATACTCAACACACCCACTCAGACAGTACTTGTAATGTCTGTTCCTCTACACTTGTTGTGATCATGGATCCACAACTCCACTCTGTTGCATCCCCTATACATTCCAGATAACTGACTGGAAACTTGTGGAAGATGCTATACTTGTATGAAATTGGATTCCTTATGGTGGCTGGATGCTTGAGTATGGGCGGATTCTAATGAAAGCTGAACTTGTGGAAGGTGTAGTGGTGTTATGTGGCCGATGAACTGTTTCGGCAGAAACCGGTGTCACTTAATCTACATAACACAAGAGATCAGAAATCATAGAACCGGCCAACCAATAAACCAGTAAGTATGGAAACCAGCAACTCATACCAACTGTTCTTCCCTATTTGTAGTGCTTAACTACAGAAGCATCTCTAATGCCTGCCCTTTTTGCTGTGGTGTCAACCTGCCTATTGGAGGAACCTGCCACCCAACTTCAAGAAATTCAGGATACCCAACATGCCTTCTCAGTCAGTCAGTACTTATGCAGACTTTTCCTCTGCTCTTGTTGTGATTGTGATCAGTGCAAGTCCCTTGAGCTATCCGTATTGTTTATGGCTATCGTTATTGCTCTTGCAGAAGTTTTTGGAGGACGATACTTTATACAGCAGTGAACAAAGTGCAGACTCCTAATCAAATGCAATTTGGTGGAGACACACTTCTGTTTGACTAAAACATTGATTTTAATTTAAACATCGAATCTTTGTACTTGTTATCATCTTCAACCCTCCAAGTTAAAGTTTTTGCTCAATCGCCATTTGGAAACCAATTCTTTTGGTTTAGGGAGACTTTTTTACAAATTAAGCCGCCAGCTTCAAGATTTTAGGCGCCATGGCGACCAAAATTGTCGCACATTGAAGGGTTGATATTTTATATTATATTTTCAAATTAGAAGGAGTGTGGGGACAAGATTGCTTGTCTGCTGTGGTGAAAAAAGCAGAGATGACCAAGAGAAGCCATTGCCATTGTTTTTCTGATTTTGAAGGCACTTTGGATTTTTGATGGTAAGTGACTTGGCCCCATATTAAGCAGACACTCAATGTTAAGCGGACAAACCGCACAGTAGACACCTATTAAGAGGACACCAGAGAAAGTCCTGTATGTGTCACTGTAACTTAATATCCATTTCTTTGTTTTACTAGTTGAGAAGCGCAAATCACAACTGTTCAGGAATTTTCATCTTTTATATCTTGTCTTGAAACTGACCTACGTTGAGCAGGGTTGTCAAAAGTAGCCGGCTGCCGGCGAAAATCGCCGCCTGCTTGGTTAGTATCGGCAGGCTACTCTGCTTGGCATTTCTTTACGGATGGCGTTTTTTAAATAAAATTTCCCTGGACTGGTCTCTTACTTTGGCAACTCAGCCGTCCACTTCAAAACATTCTGACAACCCTGCTTGAGGGAAATAGCAGACCTGAAATGGAGAAGCCATTATTGTTATATTATCCACCCAGTACCATGGATTAGTGGCATGTCACTTAAGTTTAATTTTTTAACTCATTATTCTCTCAAGACATATAGTTTTCTCTCTGTAGCTTTCTTCATGAATAAACACTCCATGGTTTTCATGGAAAAAAGGACAAATCACACTAAGGGTGACTAGAAGCACAACTCTTGTGAGACATTTTGTCACTGTTTTTTAACTGATTGTTTTTTCTCTTCTTTTTACTCCAGCCTTTGTCAATGCGGATCATGAACTGCACAATGTGTCTGGCATTATTCTGTCACCATACTGTGAATTGGACTTACCTGATAATTGAGTCGAAGACAGAGAATCCAGCCAAGTGTTCAATTTACAGAATTTTTTGTGGAGACTACCTTCTGTAGAGCAGCTATGAGAACGTTTTCGTTTTTTATATTTCCTGGTCATAGAGCCTGAAGTCCTCAGATAAGAGCCCTTAAATTGTGAATAAAGCTGATAGTACATTTTGACCAAATCTAAATAACCAAAAACTTGGCATTTTTTGACCAAAAGCATGGGTTATCCCCTTTTGGAAAAGTGCAATTATTTAGAAATTCTGTTTTTTATAGCCAAAGTCATTAAGCATTATTTCTAGTCTTATTTTGACCAAATATAAATAAACAAAAAATTGGCAATTTGTAATCATAAGCATGGGCCCCCCTATGGAAAAGACGATTTTTTAGACTTTAAAAACTTTTGTTTTTATAGTCAAAACAGGTTTCTTTTTTCTCTACAAAGTTGCTAAGCATTATTTCTAGTCTTATTTTGACCAAATGTAAAAAAAAAAGAATTTGGCATTTTTGGCCAAAAGTATTTAAACGCTTTGAAAAAAATGTGATTTTTTGGACTTTGAAAAATTCTCTTTTTTATAGTCAAAAAAGGTGTCTTTCCTTTCTTCAAAGTAATTAAGCATTATTTGTAGTGTTATTTTGAGGAAATCTAAGTGGAGAAAAATTTGGCATTTTTTGGCCAAAATCATGGGTTAACCCCTTTGAAAAAAATGCGAGTTTTTGGAGTTTGAAAAATTCTGCTATTTATAGTCAAAAAAGTTTATTTTTTGTCTTCAAAGTAATTAAGCATTATTTCTAGTCTTATTTTGACCAAATCTAACTAGAGAAAACATGGCATTTTTTGACCAAAAACATATATGGGGTTTCCTTTGGAAAAGTGGATTTTTTGGACTTTGAAAAATTCTGTTTTTTATAGTCAAAACACGTTTCTTTTTTCTCTGCAAAGTGGCTAAGTAGTTTTTCTAGTCTTATTATGGCCAAATCCAAATAAAGAAGAATTTGGCTTTTTGATCAAAAGGCTGGATTAAACCCTTTAGAAAAAAATGCGATTTTTTCTACTTTGAAAAATTCTGTTTTTATTATAGTCAAAAAGGTTTCTTTTTTGTCTGCAAAGTCACTTAACATTATTTCTAGTCTTAATTTGACCAAATCTAAATAAACCAAATAATTGGCATTTTGTGACCAAAAGCATGGGTTAACCCCTTTGGAAAAGTGGATTTTTTGGACTTTGAAAAATTCCGTTTTTTATAGTCAAAACAGGTTTTTTTTTTCTCTGCAAAGTCGCTAAGCAGTCTTTCTAGTCTTATTATGACCAAATCTAAATAAAGAAGAATTTGGCTTTTTGATCAAAAGCCTGGATTAAACCCTTGATAAAAAAAATGCGATTTTTTCTACTTTGAAAAATTATATATATATATATATATATATATAGTCCAAAAGGTTTTTTTTTTCCTGTGGGAAGTCACTAGCATTATTTCAAGTGTAATTTTCACGAAATCTACATAAACAAAAAAATTGGCGTTATTTGACCAAAAGCATGGGTTAACCCCTATGGAAAAAAGCGAGTTTTGGGACTTTCAAAAAGTTTTCTTTTTTATAGTGAAAAAAGATTTTTTTTTTCTTAACAATGTTATTAACTGTCATTTCTAGTCTTATTTTTGACCAAATCTAATTAAAGGAAAAATTGGCATGTTTTGGCCAAAAGCATGGGTTAACCCCTTTAAAAAAAAATGCAATATTTTGGACTTTAAAAAATTCTCTTTTTTATAGTCAAAAAAGATTTCTTTCTTTTCTTCAAAGTAATTAAGCATTATTTGTAGTGTTATTTTGAGCAAATCTAAGTGGAGAAAAATTTGGCATTGTTTGGCCAAAATCATGGGTTAACCCCTTTGAAAAAAATGCGAGTTTTTGGAGTTTGAAAAATTCTGCTATTTATAGTCAAAAAAGTTTCTTTTTTCTCTTCAAAGTAATTCAGCATTATTTCTAGTCTTATTTTGACCAAATCTAACTCGAGAAAAAAATGGCATTTTTTGACTAAAAGCATGGGTTAACCCCTTTAAAAAAGCGGATTTTTTGGACTTTGAAAAATTCTGTTTTTTATAGTCAAAACAGGTTTCTTTTTCTCTGCAAAGTGGCTAAGCAGTTTTTCTAGTCTTGTTATGGCCAAATCTAAATAAAGAAGAATTTGGCTTTTTTGATCAAAAGGCTGGATTAAACCCTTTAGAAAAAAATGCGATTTTTTCTATTTGGAAAAATTCTGTTTTTATTATAGTCAAAAAGGTTTCTTTTTTCTCTGCAAAGTCACCTAGCATTATTTCTAGTCTTAATTTGACCAAATCTAAATAAACCAAATAATTGGCATTTTTTGACCAAAAGCATGGGTTAACCCTTTTGGACAAGTGGAGTTTTTGGACTTTGAAAAATTCCGTTTTTTATAATCAAAACAGGTTTCTTTTTTCTCTGCAAAACGGCTAAGCAGTCTTTCTAGTCTTATTATGACCAAATCTAAATAAAGAAGAATTTGGCTTTTTGATCAAAAGCCTGGATTAAACCCTTGATAAAAAATGCGATTTTTTCTACTTTCAAAAATTCTTTTTTTTTTTTTTATAGTCCAAAATGTTTTTTTTTTCCTGTGGGAAGTCACAAGCATTATTTCAAGTGTAATTTTCACGAAATCTACATAAACAAAAAAATTGGCATTTTTTGACCAAAAGCATGGGTTAACCCCTATGGAAAAAAGCCATTTTTGGGACTTTCAAAAAGTTTTCTTTTTTATCGTGAAAAAAGATTTTTTTCTTAACAAAGTTATTAACTGTTATTTCTAGTCTTATTTTTGACCAAATCCAATTAAAGGAAAAATTGGCATTTTTTATCCAAGAGCATGGGTTAACCCCTTTGAAAAAATGCAATTTTTTGGACTTTCAAAAATTCTCACGGTTTTTTTAAGGCCAAAAAAGTTTTGTTTTTTCTCTTGAAAAACACAAAGCATTATTTCTAGTCTTATTTTGATCAAATCGAAATAAAGAAAAAATAGCATTTTTTGGCCAAAAGCATGGGTTAACCCCTTTGAAAAAAAAAATGCGATTTTTTGGACTTTGAAAAATTCTCTTTTTTATAGTCAAAAAAGGTTTCTTTCCTTTCTTCAAAGTAATTGAGCATTATTTGTAGTGTTATTTTGAGGAAATCTAAGTGGAGGAAAATTTGGCATTTTTTGGCCAAAATCATGTGTTAACCCGTTTGAAAAAAATGCTAGTTTTTGGAGTTTGAAAAATTCTGTTATTTATAGTCAAAAAAGTTTGTTTTTTGTCTTCAAAGTAATTAAGCATTATTTCTAGTCTTATTTTGACCAAATCTAACTAGAGAAAAAAATGGCATTTTTTTGACCAGAAGCATTTATGGGTTTTCCTTTGGAAAAGTGGATTTTTTGGACTTTGAAAAATTCTGTTTTTTATAGTCAAAACAGGTTTCTTTTTTCTCTGCAAAGTCACTTAGCATTATTTCTAGTCTTATTTTGACCAAATCCAAATAAAGAAAAAATGGCATTTTTTGGCCAAAAGCATGGATTAACCCCTATGGAAAAAAGCGATTTTTGGGACTTTCAAAAAGTTTTCTTTTTTATAGTGAAAAAAGATTTTTTTAAGGCCAAAAAAGGTTTGTTTTTTCTCTTGAAAGTCACAAAGCATTATTTGTAGTCTTATTTTGATCAAATCGAAATAAAGAAAAAATGGCATTTTTTGACCAAACTCATGGGTTCACCCCTTTAAAAAAAAGGCGAGTTTTCGGAGTTTGATAAATTGTGCTATTTATAGTCAAAAAAGTTTATTTTTTGTCTTTAAAGTAATTAAGCATTATTTCTAGTCTTATTTTGACCAAATATAACTAGAGAGAAAAATGGCATTTTTTGACCAAAGGCATGGAAAAGATTATTTTTTGGACTTTGAAGAATTCTGTTTTTTATAGTCAAAACAGGTTTCTTTTTTCTCTGCAAAGTCGCTAAGCAGTCTTTCTAGTCTTCTTATGTCCATTTTTTTCTAGTCTTCATTATGGCCTATTTTGCTTTTTTGATCAAAAAGCTGGATTAAACCCTTTAGAAAAAAATGCGATTCTTTCTACTTTAAAAAATTCTGTTTTTTATGGTCAAAAAGGTCTCTTTTTTCTCCGCAAAGTCACTTAGCATTATTTCTAGCCTTATTTTGACCAAGTCTAAATAAACCAAATAATTGGCATTTTTTGACCAAAAGCATGGGTTAACCCCTTTGGAAAAGTGGATTGTATCGACTTTGAAAAATTAGACCAAATCTAAGTAGAAAAATTTGGCATTGTTTGTCCAAATTCATGGGTTAACCCCTTTGAAAAAAAAGCGAGATTTTGGAGTTTGAAAAATTCTGCTATTTGTAGTCAAAAAAGTTTCCTTTTTCTCTTCAAAGTAATTATGCATTATTTCTGGTCTTATTTTACGAAATATAACTGGAGAAAAAAAATGGCATTTTTTGACCAAAAGCATGGGTTAACCCCTTTGGAAAAGCGGATTTTTTGGACTTTGAAAAATTCTGTTTTTTATAGTCAAAACAGGTTTCTTTTTCTCTGCAAAGTCGCTAAGCAGTTTTTCTAGTCTTATTATGAACAAATCTAAATAAAGAAGAATTTGGCTTTTTTGATCAAAAGGCTGGATTAAACACTTTAGAAAAAAATGCGATTTTTTCTACTTTGAAAAATTCTTTTTATATATATATATATATATATATAGTCCAAAAGGTTTTTTTTTCCTGTGGGAAGTCACTAGCATTATTTCAAGTGTAATTTTCACGAAATCTACATAAACAAAAAAATTGGCATTTTTTGACCAAAAGCATGGGTTAACCCCTATGGAAAAAAGCGATTTTTGGGACTTTCAAAAAGTTTTCTTTTTTATAGTGAAAAAAGATTTTTTTTTTTTTCTTAACAAAGTTATTAACTGTTATTTCTTGTCTTATTTTGACCAAATCTAATTAAAGGAAAAATTGGCATTTTTTTTCCAAGCGCATGGGTTAACCCCTTTGGAAGAAAGCGATTTTTGGGACTTTCAAATAGGTTTTTTTTTAGTGAAAAAAGGTTTGTTTCCTTTACAAAGTTATTAAACTTTACTTCTAGTCTTATCTTGACCAAATGTAAATAAACCAAATAATTGGCATATTTTGACCAAAAGCATGGGTTAACCCCTTTGAAAAAATGCGATTTTTTGGACTTTGAAAAATTGTTTTTTTAAGGACCAAAAAATTTCTTTTTTCTCTTCAAAGTCAGAAAGCATTATTTCTGGTCTTATTTTGATCAAATCGAAATAAAGAAGAAATGGCATTTTTGGCCGATAGCATAGGTTGACCCCTTTGATTTTTTTTTATTTTGAAAAATTCTGTTTTTTATGTTAAAAAAAGGTTTCCTTTTTGTTTGCAAAGGCATTGAGTAATGCTTTTTTCTCTGCAAAGTCTTAAAGCATTTTTTCGAGTCTTATTTTGACCAAATCTAAATAAAGAAGATATTGGTATTTTTTTATCAAAGGCATGGGCTAACCCCTTTTGAAAAATGCGCGTCTTTGGACTTTGAAAAAATCTGTCTTTTTTATACTCAAAAAGGTTTCTTTCTTCTCTACAAAGTCATTAAGTAAAACTATTACTAGTCTTATTTTGACCAAAAACAAATAAAGAAAAAAGTTGACATTTTTCCCACCAAAAGGATGGGTTAATCCTTTTGGGAAGATGCAATTTTTGGGACTTTTTATAGTCAAGATAGTTCTCTCGTTTTTTTCCACAACGTTGTAGTACGAACAATGAACTCTTGCAGATTTCGAGATCCATGATAGGTTGAAGTAAATTTATTCATAGAAATAGATCAACTGATTTAGCATGCTTGGAAACCATGATATCTTAAGGGACAGATACCTTTTAAAAGTATGGGTTTTTTTGGCTCAAGATATCTTACTATTCTGTAACTAGTTTTAGAATACTCGGTCTTGCCTATATAGGAGACCATAAAAACAGGGTACAACTAGCCAGGGATTTTTTCTTCCAGGAGCAAGTGGAGGTACGGGCAGGTTTTTCACTCAGCTGTTACTTGTATTCCACAACTTCATTTCATTTAGTGCATTTACTTAAAAATATGTAGAGTGCTATAAACTAGTGTGGCAAGCAATCATGCTATTATGTCATTAAAATAATCTTATAGTACATGTAAGTCTCTCTGATTTGTATAGTAATAAACTTCAAAAATACACGCTTTGGTTGATTGATTTTCTTTAGCCCTGATCATGAGAAACATTTCCATTGTTTGCACAGCGGGATGTTAGCATGTGAAGGACTTAAGCGTTACAGTTAATTTTTTCACAAGATTTGAAAATTCTCTCAATCCCTGCAGTGTTTGTGGTAGGCTATGCAAACGTCTGCATTTGGGTGAAGGTATGAAGTTTGCTCTATGTCTGTGTTGGAAAAACCCTGCATCTATGCACTATATATATATATAAAAGTAAATATATAGTTCTTCAATTGTTTCTTCACAGGGACAACCCATGGATCTGGTCAAAACTTTGAAGTTTTTTCTTTCTTCGGATTTGACCAAGTAAACCTAGAATTTCTGAATACGTTAAAATATTAACAAAAATTATAGATAGATCTATTTTGACCAACAAAACAGTAAACAAAATTTTCAATTTTAAAAATATAAACTGCTGTTTTTAACAAATCAGATGTTTAGGGGGTTCAGATACCTCCAAATAAGTTTTTTTAGATGGTAAACAGCTGTTTTAACAAATCAGGTGTTAAGGAGGTTCAGAAAATCGGTTATTTTAGATGGTAAACAGCTGTTTTTCTAAATCAGGTGTTTAGAAGGTTCAGAGACCCCAAAATCGACTATTTTACATGGTAAACAGCTGTTTTTAACAAATCAGGTGTTAAGGAGCTTCAGAGACCTCAAAATCGGTTATTTTAGATGGTAAACAGCTGTTTTTATAAAATCAGGTGTTTAGGAGGTTCGGAGACCTCAAAATCGGCTATTTTAGATGGTAAACAGTTGTTTTTATACAATCAGGTGTTTAGAAGGTTCAGAGACCCCAAAATCGGCTATTTTACATGGTAAACAGCTGTTTTATCAAATCAGGTGTTAAGGAGGTTCAGAGACCCCAAAATCGGTTATTTTAGATGGTAAACAGCTGCTTTTATAAAATCAGGTGTTTAGGAGGTTCAGAGACCTCAAAATCGGCTATTTTACATGGTAAACAGCTGTTTTTATCAAATCAGGTGTGTAGGAGGTTCAGAGACCTCAAAATCGGTTATTTTACCTGGTAAACAGCTGTTTTATCAAATCAGGTGTTTAGGAGGTTCAGAGACCTCAACATCGGCTATTTAAGATGGTAAACAGCTGTTTTTATCAAATCAGATGTTTAGGAGGTTCAGAGACCTCAAAATCGGCTATTTTAGATGGTAAACACCTGTTTTTAACATATCAGATGTTTAGGAGATTTGGAGACCTCAAAATCGGCTATTTTAGATGGTAAACACCTGTTTTTAACACGTCAGGTGTTTAGGAGGTTCAGAGACCTCAAAATCGGCTCTTTTAGATGGTAAACAGCTGTTTTTAACAAAATCAGCTGTTTAGGAGGTCCAGTCCAAAATCGGCTGTTTTAGATGGTAAACAGCTGTTTTTATCAAATCAGGTGTTTAGGAGATTCAGAAACTTTAAAATTGGCTATTTTAGATCGTAAACAGCTGTTTTAACAAATCAGCTGTTTAGGAGGTCCAGAGACCTCAAATCGGTTATTTTAGTTGGTAAATAGCTGTTTATATCAAATCAAGTGTTTAGGAAGTGCAGAGTTGGATTACAAAGTAAAGAGCTCACGTCCTGAAGATAACCAAAGTTTATTGAATAAAGTAAACTTGTTCCTGTTGTCTATTAACAAATAATATTACTTATAACTAATTATTAATTCCTAATTATTAATTAATACTAATTAAATTAAGTCATTCAGTCATCAAATTTTTTTTATTTGTTTCAGGTAAAAACAAGTCTAGAAAAATACTTAATGAGTTTGTAGAGAAAAAAAACCTTTTTTGACTATAAAAACTGAATGTTTCAAAGTCCTTATAATCACATTTTTCAAAGGGGGTTAACCCATGCTTTTGGTCAAAAAATGCAAAATTTTTCTTTATTTAGATTTGGTCAAAATAAGACTAGAAATAAGGTTTAATAATGTTCTAGACAGAAAAGAAACCTTTATCGACTAGTCCCAAAAATCGTACTTTTCCAAAGGGGTTAAGCCATGCTTTCGATCAAAAAATGTTTTTTTTCTTTATTTGTTTTCGGTCAAAAAAGGGCTAGAAATAAGGTTTATGATGTACTAGACAGAAAAGAAACCTGTTATTACTATAAAAACAACAATTTTTTAACGACTCAAAAATGGCATTTTTTCAAAGGGGTTAACCCATGCTTTGATCGAATAGTGCAATTTTGTTTTCTCTGTTTTCGGTCCAAAGAGAACTAGAAATAAGGTTTAATGATGTTCTAGATAAAAAAGAAGCTTTTTTTGACTATAAGAACAGCACTTTTTCAAAGTCCCAAAAATGGCATTTTTCCAAAGGGGTTAACCCATGCTTTTGGTCAAAAAATGCCAAATTTTTCTTTATTTAGATTCGGTCGAAAGACGACTAGAAATGATGCTTAATAAACTTTGTAGAGAAAAAAGAAACTTTTTTGGACTATTAAAAAAACTTTTTTACAGTCCCCAAAATTTCATTTTTCCAAAGAGGTTAACCAATGTCCTTGGTCAAGAAATGCAATTTTTTGCATTTTCTTGTTTTCGGTCAAAATAAGACTAGATATAAGGCTTAATGATGCTCTAGATAGAAAAGAAACTTTCTTTTTTACTATAAGAAACATTTTGGAAGGTCTCAAAAATGGCATTTTTCCAAAGGGGTTAACCCATGCTTTTGGTAAAACAAATGCAATTTTTTTCATTTTTTGTTTTCGACCAAAATAAGATTAGAAATAAGGTTTAATAATGTTCTAGACAGAAAAAAAAACTCTTTTTGACTATTAAGTCAAAATTTTTCAGAGTCCCAAAAACCGTACTTTTCCAAAGGAGTTAACTCATGCTTTCGATCAAAAAATGTTTTTTTTCTTTATTTGTTTTCCGAAGAAAAAAGGACTAGAAATAAGGTTTATGATGTTCTAGATAGAAAAGAAACCTTTTACGACTATAAAAACAACAATTTTTTAACGACCCAAAAATGGCATTTTTTCAAAGGGGTTAACCCATGCTTTGACCGAGTAATGAAATTGTTTTTCTTTGTTTTCGGGTCAAAAAAGGACTCGAAATAAGGTTTAATGATGTTCTAGACAGAAAAGAAACTTGTTTTGACTATAAAAACAAAATTTTTAAACGTCTCAAAAATGGCATTTTTCCAAAGGGGTTAACCCATGCTTTTGGTCAAAAAATGGATTTTTTTTTCTGGATTTGTTTTTGGTCAAAAAAAGGACTAGAAATAAGGTTTAAAGATGTTCTAGATAGACCAGAAAGTTTTTATGACTATAAAAACAACATTTTCCAAGGTCTCAAAAATGGCATTTTTCTAAAGGGGTTAGCCCATGCTTTTGGTCAAAAAAATGCAATTTTTTTCTTGATTTCTTTTCGGTCAAAACAGGACTAGAAATAAGATTTAATGATGTTCTAGATAGAAAAGAAACTTTTTTTGATTGTAAAAACAACATTTTTCAACGTCCCCAAAATCGTACTTTTCTAAAGGGGTTAACCAATACTTTTGGTAAAAAAATGCAATTTTTTCCATTTTTTCTTTTCGGCCAAAATAAAACTAGAAATAAAGTTTATGATGTTCTAGATAGAAAAGAAACTTTATATGACAATAAAACAACAATTTTTCAACGACTCAAAAATGGCATTTTTCCAAAGGGGTTAACCCTGCGTTTGGTCAAAAAATGCCATTTTTTTTCTTGATTTGTTTTTGGTCAAAAAAAGACTAGAAATAAGGTTTGATGATGTTCTAGATAGAAAAGAAACTGTCTTTTAGACTATAAGAAAAAGTTTTGAAGGTCTCAAAAATGGCATTTTTCCAAAGGGGTTAACCCATGCTTTCAGTCAAAAAATGCAGTTTTTTTTCATTATTTGTTTTCGCTCAAAATAAGACCAGAAAAAAGGTTTAATAATGTTCTAGATAGAAAAAAAAAACTTTTTTTGACTATAAAAACAAATTTTTTTATAGTCTCAAAAATCGACTTTTTTCAAAGTCCTCCAAAAAAGGTTAACCCATGCTCTTAGTCAAAAAATGCAATTTTTTTCATTTTTTGTTTTCGGTCAAAATGAGACTAGAAATAAGGTTTAATAATGTTCTAGATAGAAAAAAATACCTTTTTTAACTATAAAGACAAAATGTTTCAAGGTCCCAAAACTCGCAATTTTCCAAAGGGGTTAACCCATGCTTTTGGTAAAAAAATGCAGTTTTTTTTATTTTTTGTTTTCGGTTAAAATAACACTAGAAATAAGGTTTCATAATGTTTTAGATAGAAAAAAATAATGACAAATAATGAAAAAAAAGTTTTCACAGTCACAAAAATCGTACTTTTCCAAAGGGGTTAACCCATCCTTTTGGTAAAAAGATGCATTTTTTTTTTCATTTTTTGTTTTCGGTCAAAATAACACTAAAAATAAGATCTAATAATGTTCTAGATAGAAAAAAATCTCTTTTTCAGTATAAAGACAAAATTTTTCAAAGTCCCAAACATCGTACTTTTCCAATAGGGTTAAACCGTGGTTTGGTCAAAAAATGCAATTTTTTGCTTTATTTAATGATGTTCTAGATAGAAAAGAAACTTTTTTTGACTATAAAAACAACATTTTTCAACGTCCCCAAAATCGTACTTTTCCAAAGGGGTTAACCCATACTTTTGGTAAAAAAAATGCAATTTTTTCCATTTTTTTTTCGGTCAAAATAAGACTACAAATAAAGTTCTAGATAGAAAAGAAACTTTTTACGACAAGTAAACAACAATTTTTCCACCACTCAAAAATGGCATATTTCCAAAGGGGTTAACCCTGCGTTTGGTCAAAAAATGCAATTTTTTTCTTGATTTGTTTTCGGTCAAAAAAAGACTAGAAATAAGGTTTAATGATGTTCTAGATAGAAAAGAAACTTTCTTTTTGACTATAAGAAAATTTTTTGAAGGTCTCAAAAATGGTATTTTTCCAAAGGGGTTAACCCATGCTTTCAGTCAAAAAATGCAATTTTTTTCGTGATTTGTTTTCACTCAAAATAAGACCAGAAAAAAGGTTTAATAATGTTCTAGATAGAAAAAAAACTTTCTTTGACTATAAAAACAAAATGTTTTATGGTCTCAAAAATCGACTTTTTTCAAAGTCCTCCAAAAAAGGTTAACCCATGCTCTTAGTCAAAAAATGCAATTTTTTTCAATTTTTGTTTTCGGTCAAAATGAGACTAGAAATAAGGTTTAATAATGTTCTAGATAGAAAAAAATCTCTTTTTGACTATGAAGTAAAAATTTTTCAAAGTCCCAAAAACCGTACCCATGCAATTTTTTTTCTTTATTTGTTTCCGGTCAAAATAAGACTAGAAAAAAGATTTAATAATGTTTTAGATAAAAAAAACCCCTCTTTTTGACCATGAAAGCAAAATTTTTCAACGTCTCAAAAATCGCATTTTTCCAAAGGGGTTAACCCATACTTTCGGTCAAAAAATGCATTTTTTTTTTCTTGATTCGTTTTCGGTCAAAAAAGGACTAGAAATAAGGTCTAATGATGTTCTAGATAGAAAAGAAACGTTTTTGGACTATAGAAACAAAATTTTTCAACGTCTTAAAAATCGCATTTTTCCAACGGGGTTAACCCATGTTTTTAGTCAAAAAATGCCAAATTTTTCTTTAATTAGATTTGGTTGAAAAGAGACTAGTAATAATGCTTAATAACTTTGTAGAGAAAAAAGAAACATTTTTGGACCATTACAGAAAACTTTTTCAAAGTCCCCAAAATCTCATTTTTCCAAAGACGTTAACCCATTCTCTTGGTCAAAAATTGCAATTTTAAGTAATTTTTGGTTTCGGTCAAAATAAGAATAGAAATAAGATTTAATAATGTTCTAGATAGAAAAAAGACTTTTTGACTATAAAGGCAAAATTTTATAAAGTTCCAAAATTGTACTCTTTCAAAGGGGTTAACCCATGCTTTTGATCGAATAATGCAATTGTTTTCTTTGTTTTCGGTCAAAAAAGGACTAGAAATAAGGTTTAATGATGTTCTAGATAGAAAAGAAACTTTTTTTGACCATAAAAATAAAATTTTTAAACGTCTCAAAAATCGCATTTTTGCAAAGGGGTTCACAAATGCTTTTGGTCAAAACATGGATTTTTTTTTCTGGATTTGTTTTTGGTCAAAAAAGTACTACAAATAAGGTTTAAGATGTTCTAGATAGAACAGAAAGTTTTTATGACTATGAAAACAACATTTTTCAAGGTCTCAAAAATGGCATTTTTCCATAGGGGTTACCCCATGCTTTTGGCCAAAAAATGCATTTTTTTTTCATTATTTGTTTTCACTCAAAATAAGATTAGAGAGAAGGTTTAATAATATTTTAGGTAGAAAAAAAACTTATTTTGACTATGAGAGGAAAATTCTTTATGGACTCAAAAGTCGCCTTTTTCTAAAGGGGTTAACCCATGCTTTTGGTCAAATAATGCCAATCTTTATTTGTTTTCGGTCAAAACAAGACTACAAATAGTACTTACTGACTTTGTAGATAAAAAAGAGACCCTTTTTTACTATAACAGCTGAATGTTTCAAAGTCCTCAAAATCACATTTTTCCAAAGGGGTTAACCCACGCTTTTGGTCAAAAAATGCCAAATTTTTCTTTATTTCTTTTCGAAATACGACTAGAAATAATGCTTAATAACCTTGTAGAGAAAAAAAAAACTTTTTTGGACTATTAAAAAAACTCAAAGTCCCCAAAAGTTAACCCATGTCCTTGGTCAAGAAATGCAAATTTTTTCATTTTTTGTTTTCGGTCAAAATGAGACTAGATATAAGGTTTAATAATGTTCTGGATAGAAAAAACTCGAAAAAATCGTACTTTTCCAAAGGGGTTAACCGATGCTTTTGATCAAAAAATGTTTTTTTTTTCTTTATTTGTTTTCGGTCAAAGAAGGACTAGAAATAAGGTTTATGATGTTCTAGACAGAAAAGAAACCTTTCACGACTAAAAAAACAACAATTTTTTAACGACTCACAAATGGCATTTTTTCATGCTTTGATCGAATAATGCAATTTTTTTTTCTTTGTTTTCGGTCAAAAAAGGACTAGAAATTAGGTTTTTAAAAAATGATGTTCCCAGATAGGAAAACCATGCTTCTGGTCAAAAAACGCAATTTTTTTCATTTTTTTTTCTTTTTGCTCAAAATAACAGTAGAAATAATTCTTAATAACTTTGTAGAAAAAAAAAGAAACATTTTTAGACCATTTCAAAAGAACTTCTTTAAAGTCCCAAAAATCTGATTTGATCTGATACAATTTTATTTCTTGATTTGTTTTCGGTCCAAAAAGGACTAGAAATAAGGTTTAATGATGATCTAGATAGGAAAGAAACTTTTTTTGACTATAACAACAAAATTTTTTAATGTCTCAAAAATGGCGTTTTTCCAAAGGGGTTAACCCATGCTTTCAGTCAAAAAATGCAATTTTTTTCGTTATTTGTTTTCACTCAAAATAAGACCAGAAAAAAGGTTTTTTAATATTCTAGATAGAAAAAAAAGCTTTTTTTGACTATAAAAACAAAATTTTTTATAGTCTCCAAAATCGCCTTTTTCCCATGCTTTTGGTAAAAAAGGCCAATCTTTTCTCTATTTGTTTTCGGTTAAAACAAGACTAGAAATAGTAATTACTGACTTTGTAGATAAAAAAGAGACTAGAAATAAGGTTTAATGAGGTTCTAGATAGAAAACAAACTGTTTTGAGTATCAAAAGAAACTTTTTCAAAGTCCCAATAATGGCATTTTTCCAAAGGGGTTAACTCATGCTTTTGGTCAAAAATGGATTTTTTTCTTTATTTGTTTTTGGTGAAAAAGGACTAAAAATAAGGTTTGATGATGTTCTAGGTAGAAAAGGAACTTTTTTTGACTATAAAAACAAGATTTTTTAACGTCTCAAAAATGGCATTTTTCCAAAGGGATTAACCCATTCTTTTGGTCAATAAATGCAATTTTTGTCATTATTTGTTTTCGCTCAAAATAAGATTAGAAGTAGGGCTTAATAATTTTCTAGATCGAAGAAAACTAGAAATAGTACTTACTGACTTTGCAGTAAAAAATGAAACCTTTTTTGACTATAAAAACTGAACGTTGAAAAGTCCTGAGAATCGCATTTTTCCGGATGGTTTAACCGAAGCATTGGCATTTTTTGACCAAAACCATGGGTTAACCCCTTTTGAAAAATGGGATACTTGAAACTTTGAAAAATTGTGTTTTTTTATAGTCAAAAATGGTTTCTTTTCTCTCTTGAAAGTCATTAAGGATTATTTCTAGTCTTAAAAAATATTAACTTGTTGAAATGTTAATTGTTCTCTCATATTGTTTTGTGCTGAGTGCTGAAGATACGACAAGAATTAGTGTTTGGTGATTTTTTAGATAGAAAAAAATTTATCAAGTACTCTCCTCCAATGACCTCCCCTCTCCATGGTCTTTCTCCTTCAACAGTGACGAAAAAAGCCTCTTCTTTTGACGGACATTTTACTGAGTAAGCTTTTCCCGTTCTTTTTCAAGACTCAAAAATGTACTTCGCTTCAGCGTTGCCGATGCTTTATCCCTGATGTCCTTGTCCAGTTTTCCTACTCTTCCTCTTTCACTTCCTTACTCTTGTTCTTTTGTTTTGGCAGATAGCTGGAAGCATTAAGTATTAACTGTTATAACTCTGTCTCAGATCTTAGAGGGCAACACTAACCAATACAAATCATTTGATTAGCTGTAATGTCAATACTATAAGCATCTGTGCCATACAGTGAGCTTATTTGAAAAAAGGAGAATTCTAAGGTAAGAATGACAGTTTTATGGGTCCTGGCTGATATCGCATAATTCGTCCAAAATGTACAGTACGTGCAGGGAATAATTGTTTTCTTTAAGAGAAAAAATGTTCTATCATGGCAGCTTTTTGTTCCAAATCTAATGTTATTTCGTACATTTCATCACCTTGAGAGTATAGTACCCTGTTGCAGTAACTGTTATTTGGTACACTCATAGAAAAGTAAATTTGTAAGAAAAGCAAAGTAACTTGACATTCATTGTAAACAAGGCCAGGAAAACAAGTGTAAACGTACTTTCTCAGGGCGGCAGCAGTAACTGATGAGCATAAATTCAAATGTTCCTTACTGGGGTCTGTGGGCTTAGGGCTCTTGACCTGTTTCCACTGTAAACAGTCGTTGAAAATAAATTGAAAGAAAAAAAATAATCAGTTTGATTAATTATCTCTGCTTAAACCAAAAACAGGATTGTAACCCTAAGCTTGGTTTACTGAGTAACTAACGTTTGCTGACGTATATAAAATATCCACCAAGCCATTTTATCCTAAAAAAACTTTCGCTTATAAAATTATAAGTTTACAACATAAACTCAGGGCTCATCGATAAAACAAGAACATGACTACAGCCCTGGCAAACAAGAATGTTTAAACGATTTTTTCCACCTAAAATTGAACATTTCAATTTAAAGTCAAATAAGTTGATTTTCTTTGAGGATAAAAGCAAGTAGAAGGTAGCAAAAACGTACCTGTTCATGCATCCATGCCTAAAAGTACCGCATTATAACAGGTAGACTTCATGAGCAGGGCAATCAATAAATTCAAAATGCCAACACTCGTACCTGTTAGAAAACAAGGAGAGAAAAACAAAGGAGAAAGGATTAAAATAGAATCAATCCTTTGTGTGCGGTCACATCTAAAAATCACTAAACCAAACATTTCTTTGCAAATTCCCCGCTAGGGGTTGAAAAATAACTTATTAAAGGTAAGGCCCTAAAACTATACTCTTTCTTTTTTACCAGAATACGTTTTAGAAAAAATATGAGGCTGAAATCTGCGTATTTTAAGAATGTCATAAGAATAAACCCAAGGCTGAGATTTTCAACTAGATATTTGAAGCAAGGGATGGCGCAGTGGTGAGAGTGCTCGCCTCCCACCAATGTGGCAAGGGAAGAGTGCACTCAGACATTTAAGAGGATCACAAGACTCAATATGAGAGGTTATACAGATAAAATAACGATCACAAAAGAACATTGGCTTTGATTTGCTTCAACTCTAAAAATATCTTAATGGCATATGGCTTCTTATAGAAAGCCAGCCATTGCTAAGGGAAATCGTGATAGTATACAGTTGACTACCGATAACTCGAACTTCGCGTTAACTCGAATCAAAATAGATTTTCCCTGGATTTCCGTCATACATTTACTGTAATTTTACCCTCAGTAACGCGAACCCTCCATAACTCGAACCTCCCGCTAACTCGAAGTAGTTTTTGTTTCCCCTCAGATCATTTCTATATAATTTTATCCTCGATAACTCGAACCATGTTTTGAGCCTTTAAAAGTCAGGAAAAAACAGCCTACTGGCGTTCCAAACATTGAATTTTGAATTTCCCATTGACAGGTTGTAGGCATATAGTTTACTATTGCAGGCTGATGTTGTTTGCCACAAATCTAACGTGAAACAGCTTTACTTCTCAAAGCAGTAAAACGCACGCTCTATTTAAGCAAAGTTTTGTTATGTTATGTTCTGATTTATAATCTAGAAGTATCTTTTGATTTTCACTTGACATTTCTACAATTAAGTGTAATTAAAATGTTCACTATGCAGTAAAAACTGTTTTTTTTTTTCCTTACTTCCGGCTATTTTTTTCCATTTCCCGATAACTTGAAACTTTTTCGATTTCCCTTGAAGGTTTGAGTTATCAGGAGTCGACTGTATATTATAAAAGACCTTTCTACGTGTGTAATATATTAAAAAGAAATTCATAACGTGATATACTCGTACCAGCCAAACTATGAAACTTGAAGATACAACAGTTCAACCAAAAGCAGCCATATGTGGTCAGTCAGGATTCAGGATTCCAAATCTCCATCTAAGCTTGAATTATGTACATACTTGCTTTGACCTGGAAAGACTGAATAAAATTCAAAGCCTACAAAGCCCAGTGTTGTGGACAATATAACACAACAACACTGGAGACAACGAAGGAAAAACGTTACAAATCTAAGAAGAAAATTTACTGAACCATTACCTACCTGTAGAGATAAAAAGCAACTAAAAAGTTAGAATAAGTTTTCGCTTTGGAAAGAACCTCAGTGTGAGGGGTATCTTATGGTTATTTTATTTTCATCTCCAGTACGAGTTTCCAATTTGAAAAGTACCCGATGAATTAGAGTGGTATCCCTACGTTTCTCTGTTCCCTGATTTATTGTGGAAAATCGGTTTGGGTGTCAGCGGTTTACCTAAAATACGTTTCAACGCCTATACACCCCGTCGAATTTCCGCAAAAAATCAGTTCCCAAAGAAACCACGATTCCCGTTGTCCGCGTTGATAATTTTAGTTTAGTATCCCTACATTTCTCTGTTCACTGATTTATTGTGTAAAATCGGTTTGAGTGTCAGCGGTTTACGCAAAATGCGTTTCAACGCCTATACACCCCATCGAATTTCCACAAAAAATCAGTTCCCAAAGAAACTAGGATTCCCGTTGTCCACGTTGATAATTTTAGTTTAGTATCCCTACACTTCTCTGTTCACTGATTTATTGTGTAAAATCGGTTTGAGTGTCAGCGGTTTACGCAAAATGCGTTTAAACGCCTAAACACCCCGTCGAATTTCCACAAAAAATCAGTTCCCAAAGAAACCAGGATTCCCGCTGTCCGCTTTGATAATTCTAGTCTAGTATCCCCACGTTTCTCTGTTCACTGATTTATTATGTAAAATCGGTTTGAGTGTCAGCGGTTTACGCAAAATACGTTCAACGCCTATACACCACGTCGAATTTCCACAAAAAATCAGTTCCCAAAGAAACCAGGATTCCCGTTGTCCGCATTGATAATTTCAGTTTAGTATCCCTACGTTTCTCTGTCCACTGATTTATTGTGGAAAATAGGTTTGAGCGTCAGCGGTTTACGCAAAATACGTTTCAACGCCTATACACCCCGTCGAATTTCCACAAAAAATCAGTTCCCGAAGAAACCAGGATTCCTGTTGTCCGTGTTGACAATTTCAGATTGGAGTAATGTGGACTGCATTCTCTTTAAAAAAGAAAGCAAAAAAATAATGAATCATGATCAATAAAGTTTACTTGGCAATCCCAAAGTGTGCTACCATCAGCTGTAGAGATAAGAACAAACTAAGAATTTTGCAAAAGTTTCCAATTCGGAAAAAATCAGTTCAGAAAGAACTAGGATTCCCATAAACTCAAAGCACTTACCTGTTGAAATGCCGAGAGTGAACAGCTTTTATATCATTTCCACAGTAAGGCAGCGACAGAAACCCTGAAATGATAGCGAAAAGTTGAAATACACATTGTAGTAGTCTTTTTAGCAAAACTCCACGTGCGG